CCTGCAGCCGGAGCGCCTGCCTGCAGCCGGAGCGCCTGCCTGCAGCCGTGTCCACATGGTCAGAAACAGCAGGCAGAGACATGGACGCCTGCGCACTCGTACGGACCGTCACCGTCTGAGACGTCACAGTCACACAGCGCTCTGAGACACACTCGTGTCGACTGTAACGTTTTCCTGCTGCGCTGAGGAAAGTGCAGCGAGCAGAGCACACACATGCTGTGTGAGCGGCGCTCTGCAAGCACAGACTGAGTTTCAGCCACGCCCATGACGCCTCCATCCAACCTTGACAGAGCGATGCGTTCAGAGCCCGCCCCCATCAGGTGACAGACCTTCAGCACACCTGTCCACTGTCACTCACCACTTTAGACGGGATGTAGGCGTACGGCAGGCTTCTGTCCTCACACATGACGGGCAGGTGGCTGTAGACGTCGATGGGCAGCGTGTCGCCCGCCATCACCACGATGCTGCAGACACATCAGAAACACATAAACACACCTGTGATGGTCACGAACACCTGTGCACACCTGAGGATGCGCTGAAAGGTGCAGCAGCGGCTCACCCTTTCTCTCCTTTGTTGATGAACTTCTGAACTTCTTTGACTCCTCGTCGGATGTTCTTCACTTTGGCAGCTGGATGATAGAAAGAGACACATTAAACCAGACTCCAGTCAAAAACTTGCTGTTTTAAGCTCAAGTGCAACATGAAGGATCTGCGCCTCCTTCAAGCCCAGTCCAGCTGCAAACTGCATTTAAAGTGAGGAGGAGCACATCTGGATGTTTAAAGCTCTAACATCTGCAGTGTGAACACATTGTTCACATGATTCCCGACAACAAACGTTCCCTCACAAACCAAACTGTGAAGATTTTCTCACATACTAAAAACACTTCAAAATAAAAGCGCATGCAGCTGCCTTTTAAAACGCCCAGTGTAACCGGAAGCGGTTCTGACTGAACCTTTCACTGAGGATGACGCTGTACAAACAGCCGCTGATTTCTCACAGAAAATTACCAATAGATTACAAACTGTGCATCTATAAACGACGTGTTTACGGCCGAATTAACCAGAAGCTTTAGACGACTCGAACACTTTCTTATTTAAAGTCCTGCATCGACACTAACAACTGCAGAGCAGAAAGAAACTGTTAAATTCGTGAATTTTTAAACAGAGTTCGGCGCCACCTCCACGAGAACAGCAATCTCCAACATTTGCCGGCCGTTATTCTTCTTCTTCTCACCTTTTTTCACGCATTTGTAGAGCTTCTTGCTGAGTTTTTTGGAGGCCAGCGGCTGAGCGATCGGGTTCAGGTGAGCGATCAGCTCCTGGTACGACCTCTCGGTGCCCCCGGTACCGGCTTCTTCACCCTCCTCCGAAACTTTCTCCTTCTTCACCTTCGTCATTTCTGATCGATAATCACTGGTGATCGATACCCGTTTAATTGTTTTCTGCTCGCACTCCTGCCTGCTGATCACAACACGCACACAGAGAAGACCCCACACGTGTTTCAAGACTCTTTCTCTGCCGTTTGTGAAAACGCTGAACCACAGCGCCACCAGCGGCCCGGAGGGCAGCGGCACCACCACCCTTCAAAATAAAATACCAAACTTCCTTTGTTAGGTTTAGTCAGAATTTTACTGACACTTCAGAAAATTTCCGCGTAAATATATAATATATATCTATGTCTATAAAGAGATAAATAATAACATTAAAAAAAAGTGAAAAGTTTTGGATTCAGTAAGAAGGAAATAATTTCCCCCTAAAATCTAAAAACCAGCTTCACTGTGTGGACACTCGAGTTTTCTTTCATTACAAGAAGCTAACAAACAAAAATTAATCATCAATTAATCATATTCTGCTCATCAGAATAATCTGAAGAGAGTTTGTTATTAATATTTTCTTATAAACTTAATGATCAGGTTTTATTGCAAACGACAGTAAAATGAAAAACTGCCAAATGAAAAGTAATGAACCGTATAACACCTTCGATTCCACAGACACAGACACATTACTTAGTGTTTATTTCATTACATTTGATCGGGAAGAAATTAAAAAAGTTTAAATACAATTTCCATTTTTAAAGGTTTTTATTTTGTCAGTATTGAATTTGGCTTGTAGCTAAACCTGAATTGTGTAAAAACATTTAAATGATTTCATGTAAACTGTGAATCCTGAAATCACCTTCCAAAGCTCACACGGACTGAATATTTGTGCATTGATTAAATATCAGATCTGAGCTTCTCTCCAGTCTCGCTTCATCTTTAAGCTCAGTCACAAGCATGAATTTAATTTTAATGAATTTAAGCTAACAAACATCTAAATCGAGTAAACAGATGAGCAACAGAACAAAAACTGGTTTGTTAAAAACAAATAACTGATAAATACAGCAAACACTGATGAGTATTGATGTCTCCTGGTGCGGAGCTGGGCCACGACGGCCGGTCTGGGGCAATGACTTCACGCTGATGACATCATCCCTGGCGGATGATGTCACTGCATGGTGGGGAGCTTCTGCTTCTTCATCTCGGTGGCCATTTGACACCAAACGCAGGGCGGACAGAAGGTGGAGCACCAACAGTCGGTGCAGAGGTTCCCCTGAAACAGGCAGAGTGAGCCACGCTGACTAATGTTAGCTTAGCGGCTGCTAACTACAACCAAACCAGAGTCTCAGCGCCACCTCATGTCGTACTTTGATGCCGTAGCGCTGACGCAGCGACACCCTGATGGACATCGTGATGGGAAGGACGCAGCCGAACACGTCCAACAGGGGGAGACAGAGACACTGACCGAACTGTTGGGTGGTTCGACAGGCGAAGCAGCCTGAACGACAGACGACGACAAAAACAAACTGAATAACAACATGAAACAAAGTAACACAAAAAACTGGAAAAAAAAATAAGAGCAACAAACTGCAAAGTCTAAATGAAAATAAAAACAGCATCTTTATATTTGATTAAAAAAAGTTAAATCATAAAATATGATTTTTTTCTTTTGTTTAACAAATAAACGTATTGTTTACACTGTAGATGCTGCTCAGGTTCAGACCATGTTTTTGTTTTTTTAAAGATGCGAGTAAAACCAAACTTCAGCTGATGTCGTTAGCCTTTGGATGGATTCACGTCACACACACTGATGATAGTTTGACGCTTTTTGAATGGAGTTTTGGTGCAGAGCCTCAGCAGCTGCTCTGAATATGAACTCATCAAAGAACCAAAGAAGCTTTGTGTCCGATTCTGAACTTTGGGACATTTTTAGGTTCAAACAGATTCGGTGTGAACGAACATGTGACCTCAGTGCTGTTTAAATTCTGATCTAAAATAATAAACTTATTTAAAATCAAAGGAAAACATTTGACAGCTGATGTTTGTCTCTGTGGAAACTGATAAATTAAAGAACGAGTGTTTGTTTATGTTCAATTAGATTCTTATAATAATTCTTATGAGCTGTCAAAGCGTCGGCTGCATGCCCGTGTCCAGCTGTTAGTCTGGTCCCGAGTGTCAGTGTGGGATCAGTGAAGTTAGCAGGGCAAAGGCCAAAGTTCATGACAGGACATGAGAAAAAGATTGAACCCTCTCCTAGAGTTAGGGTGAGGAGCTCCAACCTGAACCGCTGCTCCACATCGAGAGGAGCCAGTCGAGGAGGTTTGGGCTCCTGCTGGGCGTTTGAAGCACGTCGTACTGACGGAGGCCCCGGGACAGAGCCGGGACTCACGGACAGATCGCAGCTCCTGACTGGTGTGAGTGAGGGACCCTGGGCTCACAGCTGCTCCCACGACCCAGACACAGGTGGCAGGAAAAGTATAGCCTGGTTGGAAGAGCTGCCAGGCAGCTTGACTTAGGTTTGCAAAGCTGCACCTGAACTAACCACAAGAACCAAAGATCAGAGCGCTGTGCATGGATGCTGCGAGCCTCAATGACCTGCAGCTGTAAAGAAGAGTGGACCAAAACTCGCCCACAGAGATGTGACGCACCGATAAAGTCCTACAGAAACCAGCACCGAGACTTTATCTACAAACTGCACTGTCACAGGAACGCAGAGAGCCGTGTGAACAACGGGAGAAACAACAAGAAGAAACATCCGAGAACGTCGGCACTAACAGCACGACGCAGCCACAGAGGAGAGAAGACAAACCTCCACGGTCCAAAGAGTCAGGTCCACTTCCTGTTATCTTGAAATGATCACGCAGCTGTCACGAGTTCAAGCTTTTACTTTGATATTTTACAAACAGGAAATATGAGGTTACGTTAAACTATGTACACAAGTAACACAAACAACATTAAAAAGTCTTATCAAATCCAAATGTTGCTGATGATTTTTGAGAAAATATGAAGCTCGAGGTGAAACACCGTCTACACCAGGACTCGAGTGTCCGTGATGCAGCACAGCTGATTTAAATGACTAAATTATCTCCTCAACATGTCCTGAGGTTCTCCAGAGGCCTGGTAATGAACTAATCATGTGATTCAGGTGTGTTGACCCAGGGTGAGCTCTACAGAGAATCCCCCATGTTTGTATCCTGTGGACGCAGTGAGCATGAATGAAAATACCAAATATTTCGTCACACGCTGTACAGTCATCATCGTCATCAAGCTCAAGACTGTGATCAGTGGATATACACAGACACGGGTAAAATAAGACAATATTTGCATGGAGTTCTACCAGCTGCTCAGGGAACATTTTAAAGGTATAACAACCAGAGGCGGAGCCAGACATTTGAAACACCCGGGGCTTAGCCCTAAAGGGTAGTATGCATGTGGGATTGGTTGGGGGGGGCAGAAATGACTGAAAGATTAATAGGCTCTGTTTTGAGTTTTGTTCAAAAAAGAATGACTTCATATAGGGAAAAATATATATCACATGTGCAGGACACCTTAAACTAGTTTTTTAATTAAGCAGCGAGGCAGAACAAAGTCGGGCTGCATCAAGACACGAGGACTAAACTCCAATTCAACCAGACCCAGAACTGATCCAGAATTAAAACAGGACTACAACAGTTGTAAGACATATTTAGATTTTAATGCATAAAACATAATAATATAATAAAGTTTTTTATATTTGTGGAGCGAGGGAGAGCCAACATGTCAAAAACAACAAGAATGTTGTACTTTATACGAGATGTGCCACAAATTATTACTATGATTATAGTGATTAGGTCACTAACGGGAACCTTTGAGGTTACAGTCATTTGGCCACCTGGAGCAGTAAACTGACTCCATCCTCAGAGAAAATGTTTAAAGGATGAAAAACTAACAGCTACAAAAACTCTGATCAAAGAAGTTCAAAAAGATTTTCAAATATTTTATTAAATCTGAGAAAAACCTGAAATCATACCAGATCTTTCACAATAAGAGCTCATTTGTATTTACATGTTAGTCTGTTAACCACCTGCTGCCTACAGACCCTCCCACCTGAGGGAGATTTACCACCTGAAGCTCTCTGATTGGACAGAAATGAAGGCACAGCTCTGGCTCAAACTCCAGAAAGGCTGTTGTTATTCGTTATATCGTCTTCAGCCTCGGCAGCTGAGTGGGCGGAGCCTCAGAGCTGCAGACGTAGTTCTCGTATACGCCTTCGCTGCCGCTGATGTCTCCGTCCCCGGCGGAGCTTTTGCTGTGAAGCTGCACAGCAGACGACGTGGAGCTGAAGCGGGCCGAGGTGTCGAACTGCTGAAACTTCTGAGGGCTGAGACACGAGAGCCGAGAGTCAGCTGTCAGCAGCTTTAATTATTATTAAATGTCTTCATAGTTACTTCCTGTACAGAATAAAAGACTTCCTGTGGAGACGTTCTAGACTCATTTGTAGGATTATTTAAAGCTGCTGAACTTTCAGAGAAATTTGTAGAAACTATGTTGACTTGAAATTGGAAAATAAACTGCAGAAAAACGATCAGCGGAGCGAGCGTTAAAATAACGAGCGGGCTGCAGCTTCATGAGGATGCTTAAAGGGTCTGAAGCTCGCTGCTCAGCTTCCGCTCGTTTGAAATCGGCTGTGTGGTTTGTGGTTTTGGACACATCTGGTTTCAGTCTGCGCGCGTGTGAAGACGTTATGATGAAGCTGTATCGACAGACTGAAGGCTGAGAAATCGTGAAAGGCTCATAGATGTCGTCCTTCAGTGCCGTCGATGATCGAGGCGCTGAGCCGCGTCATTTATTCAGGAGACACAAAGAAGAAGTCCATGATCATACTCACCGTCTGCAGAGCAGCTTCAGGCCTCCTGCTGCAGAGACACAGAGGACAGACAGACGTGAGCTGTGGGCGACCTCGTGCCCCTGTAAACATTTGAAAGCCTGTCACAGACACAGAAGGTCACAGTTTCATGAATCCAGTGTTATCAATCTGTTAGTGAGCCGTGCGTCTGTCCTGGTGCAGCCGCCATCTACAAACCACAGAGCTGCCGGGACACGCACACCGTGACCGAGCTTCAGCTGTGCGAGCTGCTCTGCAGATATGAGCTTCTGATCATTACAGTTACTTTGATGGGAAGTTAAAAGGTGTCATAAATGGAGTCACGAGTGTTGAAACTGAACAGGGTGGATGTTTATCTGGATCCCATCCTGGCACCAAACGAAGGTGGAAACACATCAGGCTCAGTGCAGAACTAAAGCTTTGTTTTGGCTTCAGAGTTTCACACTCACTGGATGTGAAACTTCAGACAATAACAGAACTGAAAGGTTTTCCATCTCTGATCATCTGAAGTTAGGTCGTGACTGCGTGAGGGCGTCACTCGCAGCATTCAGTGTGGAGGTGAGGTTCTGACAGTCGTCTTTGATCAGTAACATGAGAAACAGCAGTGGGTCAAACATGTAACGCAGCTGTGGCGAGCTGAAGAACTCACCGATGATGAGCAGCAACACCGAACCCAGCAGCACGTAGAGCACAACGCCCGTCAGAGCTCCGCCCTCCTGCTTCTGCAGACACACAAACACACATCGGCGGTTTAACACGTCACACGTCTGCGCAGATTAGCAACACGTGAGCAGCAGACTGAGCTGATCCAAAACAACAAAAAGGCAAAGAAACAAAATCCAGAGCAGGAACTGAGGGGCGGGACTATTTATACACACACCGGGTAATCAGGACGTTCACGCTAAAAACATAATCACATGGGAGTAAAAGCAACCATTGGACCAGACTACGTCCATAATGAAATCTCTGGAGATCGACCGTCGGTGGCTCGTACCGTGGGGGGTGACGGGCAGTACTAGCGGTAACATCGATAACACGACAAAATTATAACCAGAACCAAAGACTCAAAGCACTGAACGTCCAAACCCAACCAATCAAAAGCATCAAACAATCAACGAGCACCAAACTCTTAGCCTGCCGTCCTCTGCCTCCATTTTCCGGCCCCTGATGACAGGATGCGAAAGGATTCAGTGCTGCTGTTTCATTTAAGGACCTTTCATTAGTGCATGTGTAGTTGGACCACAGACACCCTGAAGCCACAGCTGTTTGTGCACATCACTCTGTCCTTTGGGGACGCTCACATGGATCCTGCTGCTGGTACTCAGAGGAGAGACTTCTACAAACAGCTTCAGTCTCCAACATTAGACACGCCTGACATCAATAGAACAGGTTACTTATTGTGTTTCTCACAGGATCTCTCACCTCACTGCCGCTCGTCACACTGTGGGAGGAAGTCAGCAGGCTTTCTGTGGAGGTCAGGTGACCTGCAGGATGAGGAAGTGAAAGCAAACGCTTTAAAGGGAGTTTCATCAGCAGCCCGACGCTCTAGCGCAGGGCTGTCAAACTCAAACACACAGTGGGCCAAAATTCAAAACTGGAACAAGTTTAATATTTATTGAAATATATTTATTCCTCCAGATATGAGAATGAATCTTTTCTTATGGACACGTTTTGCTGGAAAACTGAATATGGAACAAACAAAGCTTAATACTAAACAATACATATATTAGCTGTATAATAGCAGCAGGCCAGCTCTGATAGTCATTTGGTGTGGCTTCGCGGGCCAGAGTCTGACACCTACGCTCTAGAGCTTCACTTTAACCTGCTGATGCTGTATCGCAGACACACTGGGAGCCTGATGTCACAGCATCACTGGGACCATCAATCTGACAAATCAGGAGCTGCTGCTGTAAATATGTGACGACTAATAAAGTTTACTCCACAGAAATGCTGCTGTTTGTTTGTGTGTCACTGAGGAAATGATGTGTTTAAGCTGAAAGACCTGGTTTCATGTGCAGATTTGCTGTGAGCAGGACGAGTGTGCAGCGCGTTATAAACTACACACAGCTTTGGATCGGTCACCTGCAGTCTGAGAGGCCGCGGTGGTCTTTGTCGTCGAGGCTGTTGATGTGTGAATTTGTGGAGCTGAAACAAACACGAACTCGTTACCATCATGAACATAAAAGTTCAGGCAGACAGTTTAAACGAACGAGTGGATTCTGCTGTTTGATCCTCAGCTGCAGACTCACCTGGGACAACAGTCAGGTCGATGTACTGTTTGTCATCGTTGAACGGCCCGGGTATATGCACCCTGCAGCCGTATCGTCCAGCGTCTCCCTCTGTCAGGCTCTTTATGGTCAGAGAGACGTCTCCGTCCTCCAGTCGGCCCAGCAGCTCATACCTGCTGGAAGCTCTGGTTAACACTTTGTCTCCATCTGTGGAGATCAGCTGATTGGAGCACTTGTTGAACGGTATCTCTCCTCGCTGCCAGCACACTTCCACGGCGCCGTGATATTTCCTGTCATATTTACAGGGCAGAGTGACGTCCTGACCTGTGTGACCTTTGACCTTGCTGTCACATTCACAGACTGGAAACAGAAACACAGGAAAACTTTGTTACATCAGATCCAAACTCTGCTCAGGTCAGCGTCTCGTCATCTTCACTGGTTTCACTGGTTCCAGTAGACTCAGCTGTGCAGCATCTCACACAGCTCCATGAAGTCGTCCCATCAAACACTTACAAACCCTCCCAGACCAGTTCAGGCTGCAGACTGGGATGAAACCAGGTTTGATGTGTGTGTTCATGTACAGGTGACCCGGGTCTGTCCAAGTCACAACATGACCACACGCTTGTGTCTATAACCCAGCTGTGCAGCTGAGACTGAAGCTGAACAACTAAACTCACACAGCAGACTGACCTCTGACCCTGACACGCTCTGCAGCCGTGTTTGTCCTGACAGACACATCAGCAGGTGAGACTCACGCTCGTTTCTGTAAAAGCATTTTCATTCAGACTGAGCTCGACCGCTCTGCACACAGAGTCACGTAGCGAGCGCTCCTCTGTGGCGCCCGCCCCCCGTCAGCTTCACTGACCTACACAGAGCAGAGAGCAGCACAGACCTGATGATGGGCTCTGCTTTAATGCTGCTGTCAACGACAGAGACAGGAAGCTGCTCACAGTCAGACTCTTAGAGATCTGCTCATCTGGATTTAAGGTTTTACAGACAAAACTGAAGCAGAGGAAAGACACACACACACACACACACACA